AGCTGCTGACCAAAGTTGGAAGGCAGAAGGCGAAAAGGAACTAAATCTTCTTCTTTTAGATTTTCGCATACACACACGATAATAAAGACTTTTTAAACATTCTATTGATTTTGAAATTTTCTCGTCAGGATTTTGCACATTCTATTTTGTATATTCTCTAAAGCAAAAGTAGGTCACAATACTCGCAGATAATTTTCGCACGTGAATAAAAGTTGGTTTACGTTTTCTTTTTTAATGAATCTAGATCTCATTTCCACCCTCAGCTTCATGAATATCAAATTATTGTATCATCATTTGTTATGCAATTGATAGATAGTCCAATGTTCAATGTTTGTGAGTATTATTTTAAATATGCATTTGTATTTTAAGGGCTAAATATCAAAACAAAACAAACATAATAGAAAATCTAATTACCGTTCAAATAATAATTTACAGTAAAGCATTCTTATAATTACGTCCTACACAAACAAAGTCCCTTGTAAGGATACCACGATAAAGCATTATATTAACCATAAAAATATTCAAATTATGAAAATGTTTAGCTATCAATGAAGTGAAGTGAAAGTACAAACCTTGTTTTTGATTCAAACACAATTTGGCTGCGTCCTTTCCATTTATTCCCACTGAAATAATGATTAAATATATAAATTTATATTGCCTAGTTTGTGTGAATAAAAAAATATCCAATGTGGAGCATAAATTATCACAAATTAACAACCAGATTTATATTTTAAGAAAAGAATTATTAAAGAAAAAATTCATACATTTTATTTATATATTTTTTTATATATTATGCTATACTTACCTGGTTTAAAGGAGATAAAAATAGTCTAAAAATGGCTGCCACCCCCAGCCTCGTTAATATTTCTAATGAATATGCTTTACTTACGTGGTTTACAGTAAGTCTCCTTAACAGGTACGTGCCCATCTCGACACATACATGTTCCATTTTGACATTCTAAGTCGTGAACAGCAGTGCACTGTTCATTTCGCTCACAGGTCTGGTTAATTGCAAGGTTTCCTGATTGTAATAAAAAAAAAAACTTTTATTCATATCTTCATTAATCGCAAAATTCATTGAAACAAAATAAAACTTTTGAAAAAAAAAGAAAAAAAAGTGATATAACCTTTTAAGCAATTTTCTCCAAATCCTAAATATTCTGATTTGCAAACACACATCCCAACGTATTGATTGTGTGCAATACTACATTCTCTTGTTGAGTCTCTGCACGTTTTATTCCCGGAAAAACACATGTTATCAAAATTTGATTCTACAAAAGCAACTCAAAAGGTTTTAATGTTCAACAAGTACAAAGAAAATCATCAAATAACAAGTTGTAGAAACAGTTACAAAAATGTAAAAGGAAACGCACTAAACATGCTTCGTGTAGTACGACGTGTACGCTTATTAAAGTTGCTACTCGTTTCGTGAATATAAATGCATACTTGATTTTCTTCCGATTGTAAAAACTTATAAAGAATGGGTGGCCTTAACTTGCCAGAAAAAAAATGCCGTAAATTTAAGTTTCATAAAATGTTTTATTTTTTTTCCGTCATATAAACCCCTAATATATTAACCGAATATTCATAGCAGATATTATGTAAATTTAAAACGCTCTTTTCTTGGTAAACTAAATGAATATCGAAGACATGGTGCCAGAAGATTTCTTGAATATCAATAGATAATCAAGGTCACGCATTTTTCATCATCTGAATACATACATGTAGTCAGCGCATCTTTGTCGGCTGTTCTCAAGAAAATTGTATATTGAACAAAATAATTTCATATTAAAAGTAGAGGTGCCGACAAATGTGCACTTATATTGAATTTAAGAAAAAAATTAAAAGCATGTTCAAATTAAACAAACTTCTCGCTTCCATTATGACTGCGATCAACCTTTTAAATATTACAATTCATCACGATGTCCACTTGCGACTGTACTTGTGAAAGCAGTTACATTGTATTCTTCTACCTGACCTCGTTCTAAATCATGTCTTTGAGTGTGTTTTGTTGCAGTTTTCAGAATTTAGCAAATTAAATTTTGTTTTAATTTTTCGTACCATCACACTTTTTAAATAATTTCATATTTGAAATAGCTGTAAGATGCTATAAACACGTATTCGAATTTTCGGAGAGAGAGAGAGAGAGAGAGTTGTCAGCAATGACACCGCCTCTATTTATTTACTATGTATTTATTTCGCTGTAATCTGTTTTATTCATTAAATACTGGAGAGAATTTGTTTCTTTTGTAAAAAAAGAAAAAGACAGCAGGGGTACATGTTCTGTCGCATTTTGGGATATTTTAGTTTTTAAAATCAATACAATTTATTTTAAATAGACTAAGTTAGTAAATAAAAAATAAGCTAATTATAACAACATGTATTGAATTATTATAAAACAATCTTACGATATAAACAAATTAAAAGATCATGTACCCGAAAATAGGATTTGTTTGGCTTTAAACCGATTTACGATAAATATATATCAAGGTATTTTTGAAGCATATGTAAACTACATTAAATTGTTTTACATCCATAATGGATATCAAAATAATCGTCTCATTTTGCACAATCTTCACCCGTCAATAGCTTCTTTGATACTTCTATCTTGCTATTATTGAAAAAAAAAATCAGTTCTCATACAAAGAGAAAATGTTATTTCAAACAGATGAAAACTACACACGGTCGCTCTGCCACAGCTAAAAAAGGTATAGCGGTCAGTGAAAAAGACAATAGGTGTTATGACTATGTACTCCGAGTTAATTACTGGTAAACATAAATGGCTTTGATGTTCTTTCAGAACCGTGTTAGGGTTTGAAAACCGATTTTTTCAATCAAAACAAAGTAATAAAAATCTAATTGACGGATTAATATTGTGCATAATGAGACGATTATTTTGATATCCATCGTGCACTAAAAATAAATTCGAAGTCGTTTTACTATGCTAAAAAAATTTTGTAGTATATTTTAGGATATACAAAAACTGTATAAATAAAATAAAACTCATGAATCAAAGTTTGGGGACATAAATGTTTGATAAATTTGGTTTATTTTAAATTAAAAAATAAACAAATAAATGAATAAATTAATATAATCTTTTTTATTTATTGATTTATTTATCTATTTATTCATTCATTCCTATTTCAGTCCATTTGTAGATTTTTTGACATAAGAAAATAAATGAATAAAATATATTAATTGTTTATTTAATTTTTTTATTTATTACTTAGACATTTATTTTATGAACGCATTTATATATCATTCTTTTTGATTATTTTTTTTATTCATTTAATTTATTAGAAAAAAAGTTTCATGCCTAGATTTGATAATGTATTCCCGAATGTTTAAATCTAGCTCTTTTAAAGGACATTTATTATGCTCAAAGATGTTTCAAAGTATATCAAATAAAAAGTAAAAGAGTTTTTAAATATTTATAAAAGGTTCATAAGGTACGTGTAAATGCTATCTAGCATCACAAGATGCAATACATTGGTATTTTATTTCTTCTTAAGAATTGATGCAATTCTCTGTCGTTCTCCCCCTCCCCCCAAGTACTATCAAAGTAAGAAAAATCAAATTGATACAAGTAATAGAAACTAAATTATAGAGGATTTAGTAAAGGCGATTAAAAATGTGTTAACTCTTTACTAGGTCTATATTTTCAAAAAAAAAAGCTAAAGTTTTCAAGACTATGTCATGTTTCACTCTTAAATGCCACAAAATTATATTTTGAACTCATTTTCTTGCCCAATATAAATGTCAGGGGACGACTGGGGAAAGCCAGTAAAGGCAGGGATAACGACAGGGGACAACAGGGACTGGACAGGGAGATCAGAGAATGTCAGGGGAAGACAGGGAGTAGACAGGGTAGGTAGGGACATCAACAGGGAACGACAGGGACTGGACAGGGAGAGCAGGGACAACGGCAGGGGATCATAGGAGAAAGTTAGGGAGAGACAGGAAAATGTCAGAGACTGACAAAGGGACAACAGGGGATATTTTGGAATGTAAGGGGATATTTAATTAAGTAGTGTAGAGGAGTCGCAAAAAATCCTAAAAAGGGCGTTTAGTCCACACATTCTTTATTCTTATTATATCATGCAGTTATTCTGTTGGTGTTAAATATGGTTTGTTATTCACAAGAACAAAAATAAATATTTGACCTCGGCTTCGACTCAGCTCGGTCAATAGTAATATTAACATCTTTTTAGTGAATAACAAACCATACTGAACACCAAAAGAGTTTCTAATTCTTTATTATGAAGTCTAGAATTCAATAAATAAGACATTGAAAGCTGCATGGCGACTCCATTTTTATATTCGAACTTCAGTCGCAGAAAAAAAAATGTCCAGCAGGCATGTTTACGAAGCTGTCTAAGACTAATAAACGTCTTCAGATTTACTTACGACATTTCTTAAGACTAACTGGGGTTTTCGAAAGTATCCTTACTTACGAAAGTTCTTAAGAATAATCTTAAAGGTACCACAGCTTTTGACATGTCTTAAAGGCAGAGATTTTTACCGGGGGTAAATTCCAGGTGTGGGAGGGGCGTATTTTGTACAGGTGTGAATGCCTTGGGTGTTAGCAGTCGACCTGTGGTCATCTGTTTCCTAATCCCTATACACAGGAAGTGATTTAATACAAAGTACACAAGAGGTCAAAATTTACCGGTGTTGGAGATTTTAGACAATTCTAAATGAGTAGTAAAAATGTTTCTCAATTATCTATATTCATTTATTTTTGAATGTTTGAAAACACCCCTACCCATTTAAAAAAATTATTATGATATCATACTATCAATTTAAATATTAAAACAAAGATTATTTAGATTTGAGTGTATGTGATAATTTAAAATAAAAACCTGTGACAACCAAGTAATACTTAATTCATTCATCCCAAAGATCCCATCTATTAAATGAAAAGAGAGTCGGATTAATAATTACATTTCAGTAATAAAAATATCAACGTTTATCCTAATCTTAATATGGTTTTGTCACAATGAAACATGCTAAAAAAGTAAAAAAATATTGCTTGAAAATTCCTACCTGAATGAAAAATAAAGATATAAGTGACGCAATATTTGAAACATTTATAAATATCTTTAAATTTAATTACCTCACACAGTGCTGCTCTGAACTTTATCAATAATATTTCCACTTAAGGTATATCATTGAGCATATTAAAATTAATATCGAAATTTCATTTGAATAAAAAAGTTTAATGTACCAAAGCTAATTTTTAAAATGCATATTATATTATAATCCTTTCAAATACTAAAGGTATATTTAATCCATATACATTTGTACATGAATTATCAATTTAAAAATTTTCAAAGTAATACAGTTTCCCTATACCATGTTGGGTAAAGATCAAAGGATCGAAAGTTAATTTGAAGGTCCTCACGAGTCCCTTACAAGTTGTGTAGGGTATACACAGGGACCAATATGTAAATGTCAATCAAGTTCCAGCATCCAATGATGAACCTTCATGCATTTGATTGACAGGGCTACCCAGACCAAGTGTTTCAGAAGGCGGAGCTTAAAATCTCTGCCTTTAAGTCTGTCGTAAGCTAAAATTGTCTCATCCATATTGTTGCTGGCTTGACCAAATCGTCATATTAGACGTGACATAGTATTTAGAGATACGAGAAAAATTTGAGGGACTGATTACTAGCATATGCCAGGACCGTTAACAACCTAAGATAATCTTGAAATGATCCTATTATTGTCTTAAGATATATCTTAGGAAATGTCTTGCGTATGAACAATCTTAGGAAAGAACTATATGCGGTATGTTGCATATATTTGCCCCAACAAAAGTCAAATTTTGAAAACTTCCTGAAATGTGCTGAGTTCAATAAATTGTTTGAGAAATATAAATTAACAGAAAATATTATAGTGTCGAAGCAGTGTATTCACAATTTTTGTTTTAAAACGTTACAAACTAGTCCAATTTTGTATCCTTTTTCAAAAAGAGGACAAAATTGACAAAATTTCAACAATTTTAGCTTGAAAATTTATAGAGCGCAAGTTTGTTCAGGAACAATATTGACATATTTCATTGACAATATCATTCTACACATGATATCAAAATATTGATCCTGAACACACATGCGCTCGGTGACTTTTATTCAAAATTTCGACGAAATAAGTACATTTTTCTGTAAAATTCATTAAAATCTTAAATTTACGTCATGTTTGTGACGTCATTCCGTACACATGGCGTCATTACTTATGAAAATATTCAGTGCTTTGAAGTCAGCATATACTCCCCTGTTTAAGAACTTAATTAAATATATCTCCATCAAAGTTTAATTTCGGGGGCAAATTATGGTTATTACCGAATAAAGTTCTTTTCGTAAACATGCTTTCAGGTTACAGTTTGCAAGCTCTGTATTACTTCATAATTTCAGTTTATTTGATTTGATTACATTTTTTCTTCACAAGTTGTCTAATGGACAGTTTTGAACGTCAGGGTATGAAAAATATGGAAACATGAGTTAATTATAATTTGTTTAATTTAAATGTGGATCATGATAATCATATCAAAAGCATAGATTCCAAGGGTTTTCAAACCGTATAAATATGAGAGAATTGCGAAAACTTACACAGCACTGCGCTATTGAGTTGGTAGATAAAAAAAAATTGACGACAATACAGGTGTATATATTATCTCATACTATTGAATAGATACTAAATGCAAGGATATTTCAAAATATATTATTTGATTAACTGGCTTCTCATGATAAGCAAGTGAAAAATTATTTAACCCCAATCTGATTTTGTCAAATATTTTTCCAAAAATCTGTAAAAAGTTCACAAATTTACATTATTTACATAACGTTATGGTAACTATGCTAAATATTATGAAATTATGGAAACATATAAATATTTACACTGTACACATTGTGTACTAATTGTATCATAAGTGCTAAATAATAAACTACTTTTCATGGCTTGATCAATCTCACACACACTCACACACACTCCCAGACCCACATCCTTCTACTCTCCTTCGCATATATACATACGGACAGAGTTCAATTTAACCCTATGTAGAATATTGCAAAATATGTCAAAGGTCAAGGTCAAGAGGATTTTAAATTCTTCTTTTTTTTACTGAAACTGAAAAAAGTAGGTCAAGGGTCAAGTTTAAGGATAACTACATGTACGTCAAATGTTAGGGCAAAGCACAAAAGCCATTGTGCATAGCTATATATGTGCAAATATTAATTACATATCTCTTTACAGTTCTCGAAATATAAGGTGTGACAGACGGGCAGAGGAAAGACGGACAGACAGACAGACGAAGCCGGGTAAAGAGATCTCTTATTGTCGCTCTGCTCTACAGACGACAAAAAAGTGTCTAGTGTATTTTACTTATTTGACAGTAATTAATATTACCTAGATAACATGTTAAGTTGTATGATACATAACCACTCTTGCAGACACACTTTTCATCCCTGCAGACGTCCGCATGAATACTGCCAGAACACTGATCCTTCAAAGAGCAATACCCACCTAAAGTCACATTCCCTGAAAGATTGTTACAATAGTTATTGGAATTTTTATAATCTTTTGAATATCGAAAGCTTGTTTGAACATTGAAAAAAAAAATACATTGGAGAAAATACTACAAGTTAATATTTTGTGCCAATTACTTTTATTATTTAATAAATCCGTGTGTGTATAGAAAAATGTACAATATCAGCTTTGATGTTTAAATTCCTTTTACTTTTATTTTAATTTACCTGAAAGGCATTTGTTTCCCAGTGAAAAATATCCCTCTCTACAAGAACATATTGAATTCACACAAACTCCGTTGTAATTTACATCTGAGCACTGAGTATCTGATACACACTCACCACCAATAGAAACATTAGCTAAAAAAAATTCACTTCTCTTAAATGCAAAGTAATTATGTTAAAACAAAAATTAAGGCCTTCTCACAAGAAATACAATTTTGGAATGTATGAAAGACCTAGCAAGCACCTGTTGTTAAAAAGTTATGTCAAAGAATAAGTTTTTGAAAGGTACATGTTGGTTATTCTCAAGGGTCAAGATCAAAAATAAGAGTCAAGGTTGTTGATTTCTAAAATAAATTGCCACAAGGATGACACATGTAAAGTACGAAAACCCTAGCCTTAGTCGTTCAAAAGCTAAAGCAAAGGCTAAACTGTTGAATAGTTGAGAGAAAACATTTTCTCCGAGGACCGAAGGCCCGTAGAGGGGAAGTTTCTTCTTACCTATTCAAGACCATTGAGTTATTTATCTTACTTTAAAAAATCTCCACTTTTTGCCCTAAAGAAACAAACCAATTCATAAATCCATCACTTACATAATACAACTAGTCCATTTACACATTCAACAGTGGCATAATATAATAGCCTAATCGAACAGGCTTTTTTAAATTCATGATGACACTGCATGATGCTAATGCCATTACAGAACTTTTCATTGTACGGAAGTTGTGTAATCAGAGCTGAAAACAGAGGAAAACGTTGGAATTTTGATAAAAGGTAGGAATTTATCATTAAATAGAAGATGATGATCTGATGCGAAATAGTATTGGATTCTTATGGACTTTTTTGTACAATGCTTCTAGTAGTGCTTAAACAAAGAAAAAAAGATTGGCCGGGTTATGCAGAACCTGCAAGCATTAAAATATCCTATGTCAAGATATGCAATTAAACAGTGATGAAAGATAGGTCGGCTGTCAATTTAATAAATTGCTTTAAAAAGTACACAGGAAAAGTATGAAAACAGAGCTAATTTGAGAATTTGCTGATAAGGAACTCTGAAATAATCTTCTGCTAGATAAAGTGGTGTTCTTTAAAATCCAACTGAAGGTGAAAATGTATTTATAAGCGTGTCAAAAAGTGATGCTTTCAAAAATTTAAGACCGGACACATACATGTACTTGTCAAAAATCCATTGAATATATTTTGGATACTTTATGGACAAGTGTCGAAAAGTGCAAAAGTTTAAGGAATTGCATGCCATTTTTTGGCATTGGAAGTACATTTTTTTTTAAATCAAATCTTATGATTAAATAGATGCGAAGTAAATGGCTGCAGATCTATAGCTCTCCGAAAAAAATGAATGATCGACCGGAGAGCTACAGAGCCACCCATTGAAAAAAAATGTATATTTATTGCGCACAAAAGAAAAATGCGCTCGGTTCTCGATTTATTTCTCCTTGTTTTTAAAATTGTAATCTCAAAGTATTACTAACATATATGTTTATATGTTTCTAACATATTCCTTGACTCTTTCCATAGCAGAACATTCCTCATATTTGTTGTAAATAATCCTCCTAGCCATGATATTGCAATCATCGAACATTTCGCTTATTTATACTGCCATTTTGGTTATGCTTCGTTCAGATGTCAACAACGAGAGAAATTGAGAGAGGAGAGAGGGATTTTTTTAAAATCTTCCATTTTTTCAATTGAGGTAAGAATTTGGAAGAATTAATCAAGAATATTAATCGAGAGCATTGTTTTGTGCGCAATAAATATACAGTCTTTTTAATGGGTGGCACTGTAGCTCTCCGGTCTATCAATATATATATTTTTCGGAGAGCTACAGATCTGCAGCTACGAAGTAAATAGTTCTGTGTGCATTGAAAATTAATTCAAATGTTGTGATAAAAACGGAGTGATTATTATTTTTCATGTGTAGTTGAAATACATAAGAAAATTCTTTAATCTCTTTTGTTCATTTCATAATTTATGTTTTATGCACCTCATATGGCCAGGTTGGGGGGAAACGTAAATTCCACTATAATAGTGGTATTTCACTATTATAGTGAAATTACGCTATATTTCCCGTCGTGGATACCCTTCAATTTCACCGGATACCATGTAAGGCGTTTGAACCGCACGTCATGGTGGGTATTACAATGAACAAAAACTGTCATGCTGGCATGTTTTGAATTCTAATAAATTTTCTACCGTTGCGTTTGAAAATGCGACCACTCTTTTTTTAACGGAAGTTGCATTTTTAACATAGCAACCGATGATTGCGGGGATATATAAGCCTGTTTGAATCTCACTTATTGCTCATTAATGTGCACAAATTAATGTTTGTTACAATTGTCAACTTAAATTGGAAAGGGTTTATTGAATTAAACAAGAAAAAGATTATTTCTGTCTGCATGATTACGGGTATGGAGGCTCGTTATTGTAAACGGAAAAACCCATTATGGTAAACGGAAAAACCCGTTATAGCAAACATGAAAAAAAGAGTGTATTGATAAACTCGATATCTTTTTTCTTAACAAAATCAATTTATAATAAATAATCCAAAATTTACATATAAACGATCCCAGAAAATATATCTAACTTTCAATATCGGCTTGTTTATTGTTTATTTCAGAAAAAAAGACTCAATTTATTTCGTTGTCGGTAATATTTTACAAAAGTGTCTGTAACCTTATTTTAACACATGTTCAAATAATTATAATTCAACAATCTTTTTAACTCCGCACAAATGTATCTTATTTAACATTTTATGGTTATGCACTTAGGCTAAAACTTTAAAATCTGAGAGAAATAGCTATTGATTTTTTCTTGTTATTTAAAAAAATATTCATATCTAATTATATTCTTATGAAATGAAAGTATATAGCAAAAAATCACACTAAAAGTATCAATTTTTCAGACTTTTAGATTTATGCCATTGTATTATTGTTTAAACTACAAGGAAACTTCAAATAACAAATCAACACTGCTCAGCATAAGAAGTGTCTAAAATATCTTATACTCAATTTATATTTTCCACAATTAAAAATTGATGTAAAACATCAAATTAGCCGCAAACAATTTAACATTTGAAAAAGTACTTTCACAATTCTGAAAGCATATCCATGCAATGGAAGTGCAATATATTCAAAGCTGAAGTAGAATCTTGAGAAGCGTATATTTTCATTTACAATCAATTCTTTTATCATAGACTTCATAGGCGTCAGAACCGGAGGGTGCTAGGGGCGCCTAGCCCCTCCCCCCCTTTCTTGCAAGGATAGACATTTTCTAAGTATTGAAAATTGGGGTTTATCTTTTTTGTTGGTTTAACCCCCCCCACTTTCAATTAGCCACCCTTTCAATTTGCTTCAGACTCCTATGGACTTTATTACATCGATGAATATATGTCTGATGAGCAAATGCATTAAAATATGTATATCCGTACTTATTTTAAAAAAAAAATATTTCTATTGCTTTGAAGACAGTCTGAAATAAAAAATGACCGAACCACGTGCACTTTGGATCTTGATCATGCACGTGGCAATTCCTATGTTTTCTGCAAAATAGACTATGTTGCAAGGCACTGTGCAAAATGTGGAAACTATTCTTGTATCATTGGCAGCATTCGCAGCTATAACATATTCAAAGCAATTTTTACGAGTTGAAGAGTTTTTTATTTTTTATTAACCATGCACTTTATGCACCACGTCATTATGATGCGACCGGAAAATCAAAATTTCCTTTAATATATATGTAATACCTTTTGTAAACTCTTTTTACGAGTATATAGTCAAAAATTATCAATTAACTTGGTGAGAAACGACGATGAAATTGAAACATTATAACAATAATATTTTATTAAATTTTACTGATGATTTTCTACATGTTATCAATGAAGAATTATGATACTGAACTTTTACAAAAATAACTTCTCATTTCCCATGTTCACTATTTAACAACCATGTACAAAAAGATCGGCTGCAGCAGCGGTCGATAATCATGGGTCTTTCCGTTTACCATAACGAGCCTCCATACCTGTAACCATGCAGACAGAAATAATCTTTTTCTTATTTAATTCAATAAACCCTTTCCAGTTTAAGTTGACAATTGTAACAAACATTAATTTGTGCACATTAATGAGCAATAAGTGAGATTCAAACAGGCTTACATATCCCCGCAATCATCGGTTGCTATGTTAAAAATGCAACTTCCGTTAAAAAAAGAGTGGTCGCATTTTCAAACGCAACAGTAGAAAATTTATTAAAATTCAAAACATGCAAGCATGACAGTTTTTGTTCATTGTAATACCCACCATGACGTGCGGTTCAAACGCCTTACATGTTATCCGGTGAAATTGAGGGTATCCACGACGGGAAATATAGCGTAATTTCACTATAATAGTGAAATACCACTATTATAGCAGAATTTACGTTTCCCCCCAACCTGATGGCTATTCAAATATCCAGCCAACCGATAGATAGTTGGATATTTTAATATATCAAATTGATGGCCACGGGGACATTTTAATATCTAACTAGTGCTGATTGAATCGGTAAAATATACGTAGACTAATGGACTTTTACGAGAAGGGCTGACTTTTACAGTTGACGAATAACTGTCACACTAGGACTGTGTACGGAAGTCCGTTTCCGATATAAATATTTAGCTCAACATTTAATTCAACGAAAACAACGGGCTATTTCAAAGTACAGATAAGTTGCCCTTGCAAAAAACGACAACCATCCTACCCTAAAATCCAGGCCTTTACATACAAGTGGCCCTAACACACGACCACTAGAAAGGTTTTCCTATCAATTATCAATTATGCACCACCCTAGATGATACAGGTTTAAATGTCCAAATGAACTGTCAACTGTAAAGTCAGTGCTTCACGTAACAATAACAATGAAATGATGTCAGGGAAGTTTTATAAATAAAGGTAACCTTTCCTAATGATCATTTACCTGCAAGACATTTGTTTTCTTCTGAAATAAATCCCTCTCCACATCGACACGTCGAATTCAAACAAACATCAGAAAAAATTCTGTCTTTGCACTGTATGTAAGGCACAAATACTCCATTAACAGGACTATCAGCTAAAATTTTATTTAATAGAATAAATATATTAGGTTTATTATATTATATTACATATTTTTCATATATTATTTTTATCAAATTTTATATACATGTAAATATATAGAGGATATCTATATTGTGTGATTTGATATTGGATTTATCCAACGAGTTGAAATGGTGTATATATTTGCCTAGCGAATATACACCATTTCAAGGAGTTGGATAAAGCCAATATCAAATCACACAATTGTAGATGTTCTATTTATCTCATGCAACTTTCGTTTTAGCAAAACTGAGAGACTACCCGTGCAAAACTACATGAATGATTGCCAATTCAAATTGAGGACGTTCAACTTGATGAAGTAGCACCGTTGATTTTGACATGCGTCGAAAGAAAGTAGATCGTGTTCAAAAGTTAAAATTTTTGCTATCTGCGTCTTTGAAAACATTATGAGACAATTGCTGGATCTTTACATCAAACGAACCTCTAACTAAAAGTTGTAAGGACCATGGGATCGTAAAATTTACTCTTTGTACAGTGGCAGTACAAAACATGCTAGGCAAAGCTTTGTAGATTCATTGTTGATCCATGGTAAGTTACACCTACATTACATGTACTAGGTAGGCATACGTTATATATTATGATAAAGCGTCATTAAAGGTGTTACAGGAATCTTATAACAACAATCTAAAAGTCTTCAACTTTTCCGGAAACGATTTAAGGTGGGAATGTAAAATCTGTCTTCAATTAACCAATACAGTTTTTTTTTTTTATAAATTACAACACTCTTTGACATATACGAGTCTTTTTCTTGCTTTTAACAATATTACTGTCCTTAAACATTCATTTTATAAGGGCAATTATTTTCACAAATAAAAGTTTCAAATAAATAAAAATAAAAATAAAATCTTGAAGAGAAGGATAGTGTCAAAACCGGAAGTGCTATTGATAAAGTATCTACCCGTTGATAAAGCATAAGTTCATCCAACGGTCTGCATCACCCACACGTATGAGATAAATATGTTTATTATTATCAAATTTTCTATACATGTAAATATATATTTTTTTATAATTCATTTTGACACTCTTTATTTATATTCTATATGAATGTTAAAAATTTTCAGTACTTTTTCAACAGAAACGCATGACTACTTAAAACTTTCATAGCAAACAACCAACCGTCTCCTGGCGGTCGATAATACTGTAGATTCCTTATTTTTCGCGAGTACTTTTTATCGCGACCTGTGTTTTTCACGTCAAATCGCGAGAATTATGATTCGTGAATGGACCCTTGATCAACAGATATTACATAGATTTCAGCACCATAAAAATAAAAGCGAGTAATATTTTTTCGCGAGTGACGCTTCTCGCGAAATTACGCGGAAATTAATTCCTCGTGTATAATTAGGAATCTACAGTAGTGCCTGAATAAAAAAAAACCTTAAACACTATCAACAAATCTTGACCTAGGTTTATACTAGCTGCAGATCCGTAGCGTTATGGTTTTATATATTTGTCCTTGACCATAACGCTACAGATCCTGTAATGTAAAAAAGGTGCAATTTACGGCACAATATTTTTTTGCGCGCTTTTAGGGAGAATTTCTCCACTTTCAAGCATTGGTCAATCAACTACCTTTCACTCCCTAATTCTAGACACATTCTGTAGCCAATATGTATATTTTATCTACCTTTAACCATTTGTAGTTGTCTCTACAGGCAATAAAGTCACTAGAAGTGAATTTTCAGCAGTCTAACAAATAATTTTAATCAAGCGAGTTTATCACTTGTAGAGACGAGTATAAAGGGTTGGGAGCTGTATAAAATATACATATTGGCTACGGAATGTGTCTAAAATTAGGGAGTGAAAGGTAATTGATTGACCAATGCTTGAAAGTGGAGAAATTCTTCCAAAAAGCGCGCAAAAAATATTGCGGCGTAAATTGCACTTTTTTTGCATTACAGGATCTGCAGCGTTATGGTCCAAGACAAATATATAAAACCATAACGCTACAGATCTGGCCTGGGGGCCATAAAACTTAGACGAGCTCACTTTTGATCTCAGTCTCGCTTTTCCTTTATGAATACCTTATGAAAAAGGGAGACTGAGATCAAAAGTGAGCTCGGCTAAGTTTTATGGCCCCCAGGCCTGCAGCTAGGTTTATACGGTCTCATCTCCAATTCACACAGTGGAATTCGAACCCGCGATGTAAGGATTTACTCCTTACTTCGCGACTCTAGAGCTGAAGCTATAACCACTGCGCCACGCGGGCAACGGTGAATTTGGAGGCCCAATAGATTTGAAAGCTTTGAATGGTCCTCCGAACATGTGTTCTAACACTTCTAAGGTTCAAGATCAAAACATATTTCATCATCTGATATACACTGGACTTGCTCAATTTTGAGTTATATTTGTTTACAAGCTCATTTATTGTACAAAAGAGTTTATTGTGAGTCTAGATCTCTGGAACAATGCCTCTTTTGTAACATTCTAAACGTTTCCATATATTCTAATTGTTTAATTCGTTCAATTGTTACTTTTCGTTGATCATGCATTAATTCTTCAAATAGGTGCAAAATGTTACTGTTTTTCTACAACATCCACTTTATGTTACGATTAGGGATGTCAAAATATTTATTTTCCTTAGTGGAGCATTCGATTGCATTATTCGAACGAAAGTCGAATATTCGGAGCATTTATTGAAAAAAAATCATCAATAGCGTATTTATAAATAAACAAGATATGTTTGTGAAACACTATGCGCCCGGCGGCAACAAATCTTAAAAAAAACTATTTTAAGCATATATGTCACAGTCAAGGTCATTGACCTTGGTATCATTTGAAAGAAATTGATTAGTAATGTATGGATACCAAGTATGAAGTCTCTATCTCTTGTGGTTCAAAAGTTATGGCAAAGTTTTGAAAATACTATTTTTAGCATAAAGGTCACAGTAAAGGTCACAAGGTCATTGACCTTGGTGTCATTTGAAAGAAATTAATTAGTGGAGTAGGCATGCTAAATACACAGTCTCTATCTTCTATGGTTCGAAAATTATAGCAAAGGTACGAAAAAACTATTTTTAGAATATGTCACAGTTAAGGTCACAAGGTCATTGACCTTGGTGTCATTTGAAAAAGCTTAAAGGCCGGATCTGACCTAGATAAACATCCACACGGACAGCAATTAAGCATATTAGGGAGCTGGCCACACCTCCCATCTGATAAGACTGCAGAGTTATGCTATTAATAGATAGCAGCTTGCCACTTACACGTGCTTAAAATAAGACAACAAAGATTGTGCAAATACATAGATATTTTAATTATTTCTACGTTTAGAAAAGACATGTTTTATGTAACGCCACCAAATGTTTTTCCTGAACTGAAATTTTTGTTTTGTATAGTTCTTTTTCCCAAGTTGCTTACGTGGGGTTTTAGGATTACGTGTGTAAGTGATAGAAGTAATGTCTCTACCCACATTTTCATTCCAGTGACACGTACCAAGGAATGCTGGCACTTTATACTGTTCACTTCCAAAAGCAATCCTTTTATCCTCATATATATATTTAAAGTGTTATTAAAACTCTCAACAAAATAAGTATCACGTCCTAATCGAAAATCAACCGGATTTTTATAGATCACTGAATTGATTATAACACCTTTTAATAGTTTTTCTGCAACAGGGTTTTGAATCACCACTCGGGAAGATTCGTAGTTTGGATCCACTTTACATCTTGAGGAAGAATGACATCTTTCATGGTTGTTTTTATAGTGATCTATGATATTGTCTTACATCTCTCTGAGCGTACCCGAGTCTCCACCACAGTGTTTGATGGCCCAGTAGAAATGTGTAGAAACGGCATCCGGTTTGTCGTAAAGCTCCTCGGACAACGTTTTACCTTCTCTGTACCGTGGTCCACTTGAAATGGTGGACAAGGCCTTCTTAATATCTTTTATGCCATGCCAAATGTCGTTTTGGTTGCAGGTAAATCCATTTTCACGTTCCCTGACTAGTTTGTTAATTGACATATTTCTGTCATGCGTGTGGACGTTGACAGAAACTTGTTTGCTGTCAAGATCCTCGTAAATTTTTTCAGTTCCAATTTTTTCATGTCTCTGGGTAACTGGATCATCAGTGGTCGCAACATGCACACAGTTGAGAACTTTATGCGTTTTTTCTCCTATTGCCACCACACTGGTGTCCTGGTCATTTTTCTGCCACCCATGCCGTGCGTCAGTTATGATGTCAATTCCGTCTAAATTGTCATATAGTCCCACTTCCTCTAGTAAAGCGGTGTGAATAGAGTCTTCGTACTCTTGCTGGACAAATGTCTTGTACATTTTAAAAAACGAATTCCGTTTTTCTACAGAAAGAACACCGATTCCTGCTTCTCTGCAAAATCTAGAATAACAGGATGGCAGCATACCACTACACAAGAAAGCATGATTAATTCTTTCATTGATAAGATACTTTCCGTTCGGAAGGTATGGTGAAGATGCCCAAATATACCTGTGTTTAGGACGATCGATTCTCGAACAACACAGTTTCAAAGAAGTGACATGTCCCCGTTTTGTTGCCTTTTTACCTCCAATTTTCCTCCACAATGTTTCCCATGTACAGCAGCTACATCCATGAGTTTTTTCACAGAAGGCAGCGATGTCACAAAGAAGTCCTGGTTCACCTGACTTTTCTTAACATTAATATAAGTTCCAGGTGTTTTGGGATGATCGTCGTTGGCTACTGACTTCTTCCAGGTAGACAGCAAATTTTCAATGATGTCGGCATTGTTGACAGGTCTACCCAGTTGTTTGACTAACATTTCCCTGACTTCCTGAAGACTTTGCATAATATTAATTTTCTTGTCTTCATTAGCTGGTATTTCTAACTTTAAAAGTTGGAGGACGCTTTCGTTTGTTTTCAGCCATGATATAGTTTCCCAGTAATAATAAAGCTTAGTTAATGACGATTACTGAGTATTCTTTGAATTACTCCTGCTTGTATCTTATATAATATAATATATACATTATCTATACTAAAGGGGGTCATATTTCAGTGGACTGTACCATTTTTTAACAAGTTGTTATCTAATAAAGAAAACATTGACAATTTTGTGAATAATAATTAACGCTTTTAAAATTTATTAGCACTTTACTAATTAAAAAAAAGATTTTATAAATTTTGTGGGAATAGTTTTATTTACATTAATGACAGAATAATAACAACGTGGTTGCCCCCACTACCCCAGTTTAGGTTTCAGATGGAATTGACCAACTTCCACAGACACATGGAGGGACCTCCCGCCAAATGTCAATAAATCAGCCTAGCTGTGATACAGAGCAGGATAAGAAGGCTCAGTGGGGAACATCCATAAAACATGTGCATGAGAGAAATACAAGCAGTATATCCCAAATATATACATATGTATAATTTATTGAATTCGTCATATCTACTTTTATAATTTCCAGTTTTATCAATAAATAAGGAATTATAGTTAATTATAGTAAATTAAATGAAATCCTGAGTCCCCTAATAGACCTCTCCCCTGCAAAACTTCCCTCCAAAACAAAACGCGGTCTCAATTTAGCAAAATGGAGGAACAAGAAGAGAAAAATGTTATTTCATTGAGAGTAAATTTAGAACAAAGGCCATTATACAATTCTTTAATTTTAATAACTGGGATTTAGATGAGATGAATGGAGAAACTGATAACAATGAGGAGGAGGGCGTGAACTTTGAAAGGACATACAACATCCCGCAAAATGAAGACTGTGAAGAATGTCAAAATTGTTTATGTAAACCATGCATAACTGATGAACGAAATATACAAATGTGGTGGGCATCGGAACCTGTGCCACCAAACACACGGAACAGCTCCCTTAGAAAAGAAAGGTACAAATTCTTTTGGACTATACTTTTCCATAGAGGTGTGTTTTTGGATGAGAGATATATAGCTAGGAAAAGAACTGCTTTACTCAACGATCCAAGATTACGAAACACTGTGTGCCATCGTCGAGATATTTTACCAGAATGTGTATTAGAACTTGTAAGGTATTGGTTTCCTAATCCAAAAAATAAGCCATACATTGGGCATCGTTGGAACTAAAAGAAAAAAATGTCCAAGATTTCTTTTTTAATAGTGTGACTTAATAATTGTGATATTTTCTTTTATTTTGTTTTCCATTTTTTATTTGATTGTTTACTGGGTCTAACCTTATGGCAGCCACAGACACGTGTTCACGCTGATAATCCTTGTTATCTCGCCGATGTGATGCTTCACTAAGTGACTGAAACAGCATGACTGACCCAAAGTGATAATTGTTTACACTCTCTATGATCTAATCACGGGCTTTGATTCTTATTTATTACTCGAGGAAAGGATAATAAAAAGGATTGAGGATTATTTTCGGAGTATCTGTGTCTTTCTTTTGAGGTAAGAATATGGCGGCCATTTTAGCATGCGTCAATGGCGACGAGAATTTCCGGTGTAAATGTAAACATTCAGCAGCTGTCCATCAAACTCCAAAGAAATTTGAAATTTCGATCGCCTCAGAATTTTAAATGAATATTATAGACTGTATTAATTTTTTTATACTGTATTTTAACCACCCAAACACATCTGATAACTTAGTTAGATGACTCAACAACTTTCGGAAGGTGTATATTGACGGTATAGATATAATTTCAAAAAAATCTCCTGCGAAGTGAAGAGTGGCAAGAAAGTTGAAATTTCCTCCATTTTTCTCATTGGCTGCTATTTATACCCCAGACCCGCACTTTAATAAGTGTTATAACAGACAGAATTTGCTTATTCATGACCTTGACCTTTGACCTTTTGACCTCAAAATCAATAGGATTCTTTTTTCGTCCATAGGGAGTTGCTATGCTAAATTTCATTGCAAAAGCTCAAAGGGTTCTTGAGATATCGTGTGGAAACGAAAGCGTTACAGACAGAAAGACGGACGGACGGACGGATGGACAAACCCAAATTAATATCCCCCACTTTTCAAGCGGGGGACAATAATCTTTTTTTCGGTGATGTAAAATATGACGTCGTAATTAATTTAAGAGGAAATTATTTCCTAATTTTTTTAATCATATATAAAACTCTCACTGATATGTTTCTGTTTGCATATTAATAATGTGAGGAAAGTAAAAGATTTGCATATTTTCTGAAAAAAAAAATTAGTTTTGTTACAGTCTTCATATAAAAATGTGTGAGGATCACAACATATGTAAAATTACGACGGCTGCGAACACTGCCTTTTTTTAATAGGAAATACAGAAACATCTGAAATTAGTTAATTTGAGATTTTTTCTGGTTAAAGTTTATAAATGTGTAAAGTACAGTAATGCTGTCATATTTCAAGAATGGTCCCCCTTCTTGTAATATTCTTTCAAGGTTTATCACATTCATATACTCATTATTAAGCCAATTTTATAACCTTTTGAAAGCATAAAATGTCGAGGGCACAATGAAAGAAGAAGGACCAAATTGTACTTTCTTATCTCTTTGGGAACATAATAATTGGCAGGAAAACAAATGACAGATTTTTTTTTTATTAATCGAATTATTCTTTGAAAGAAGACAAGATCAGTCCTTTAAAAAACAACTTTAACTCAAGATGTTCAGTGTATCTTTTGTTTAAATTGTTTGACGAAAACATCTTAAGATCAGCTACCTGCAAAACATCCGTTTTCAATTGCATTGTTTCCCTCTCCACATCTACAAATCGAATTTAAGCAAACACCAGAGTAGGTCTTGTCTCTGCACTGGATATCTGACTCACATGCTCCGCCAATAGGAACATTAGCTATAGAAAAAAAATCTTTGAAAAAGTATTTTTCAGGCAACACATCTTTGTTTGAATTAATTTTTAAAAAATGTAACTGGACATGTTGTTTATCAATGGTTAAAGCTCCAGAAAAGAAAAAGAAAGAAATAAGCTTAAAAAAGGAATGCATACGTGGACCATATACATGCATGTCCAACCGAAATTCAATTTAAGGTATTTCCATCATCGCATGATGTCATAGGTTTTTTTTGCAAAAACTGTAATTATAACTTTTTTCATAAGACCTAAAGGATTACACTGTTTATGACGTGCTGACGCTTTGCTTGTAGAGAACTTTAAATACTACGTAACATTCTCGCCACATCAAAGAACGTAACCGAGATCGCGTCTCTCCCACGCTAAAGTCGGTCGGCTACAACATACAGCTTTTTGTGTGTAAAAAAATGGAATAGACAGTCCCGATGTCGTTTTCTTGAATATTACCTGCATAGTTAAATGACTTTAAACCTTGAAATAAAGCATTTTATGATTTTTTTCAATCCATTAAGAATATTTACATTGGTGGATTATTGTATTCTATCGCAAAATTTACTTTTTCCATATTTGTGTACATGTATAAAAATCAAGTAGTGTATAATTGGATTTATTAGTTACGCGCCAAGTCATGCATTCTGAGATTGTTGCAATTTCATACAAAATACTATTGAAAAATAGAGACCCTCTCTATGCGTATATTCGAGAGAAATAGAAAAGAGGGGAAGGCCTGGGAGACGTGTGCATTTATCTACAAATTATCATTTGAAGTTAAATTTATTTTTAAGCTTTAATAAATTTTGTATATGTAGAATAATTAATACCAATTAAAAGACAGAATATAAAGTCTAATTCTAAGTACACATGCACTTTCTTATACCTAGAGATTGGTCTGGCAGATTTAAAAATAAATAGACTGTTCTCGAAAAAAAATCTATCTTCGACCAGTAAAAAAAATAAATAATCTGTCCTTTGATAGCGCTTCTAACCCCCAATCTCCACCTGAAATGGAGTTTCCCTTTATCTTTGGCTTGTCAAACTTTTTTTAGATGAAAAAAGTTATCCGTCCCTAACTAACATGAAGATATGAAAATAATCTGGATCGAATTGGTGTGTTCCCCGAATGGCTACCCGGAAAAAACAACAAGTAATTATCACACTCAATTAAGGGGCCCTCTAATGGGTACAGGTACTTTTACCTGTGTTTACCTGGATAAGCAATATTTTATAAATCAGATATATTCATCCAATTTTATTATCATGAAGAGGTTTTTTTCATTTTCTGAAATATACTGGATAAAAAAAATAGATAAATAAATATAAATAGATAAAATTAAAATTTCAGGAAAATTAATTTTTATTGTTCTTTAATTTTAATATTTTTCCAAACTATTCAATAGTATAGGTTGAGAATTAACAAACTATTATTCCCTTTTTGTGCTGAATTTTCAAACTCTTTTAAATAGATTAACACAAATGATTTTTTCTTAAAATAATATAGATATTCATGTATAATAAATAAAGTGTTTCCATAAAGTTTTGTCTAGTTTAATTCATTTATTTATCATTTTTAATTATTAAAACATTCTTTTATATCATCATAAAATACAGACGTTTATGTTTCAATTTTTACAATAAATATAGAGTCTGACGAATCGATATTAAAAACAGATCACTTTGATTTTTAAGGAATTCCTATAAGTCACATTATAATTGAAGAAGCACCTGATAATTGATATCAATTTGCTTTGAAATTTGAATATGCAAATCTATCTTAGCAAGTGTCAAAGAAAATGATGTGCTGAACTTGCCTAATGATGCAGTCCAAGTTGTAAGTTATACAAGAACAACACAAACTAAAGAACAGTATATATACAGAAATATGGAGATGGACTAAATAACTTGTAAATATTGGAAATATGTGTGATATGAAAGTGAAACTGTGCTAATATATAATGTAAAAATCAGTGCTGCTAAACAATAGAACTTCAAGATAATTTATAGTTTTTAATATGTTTTGTGCTTATAAGATTATTTATTTAAAAATATTATACAAAATATTTATTCATACTAGTGCTCAAATAAAGAAAATTGTATTAAAAATCCATTCAGTTATTTTATTTTAATACCGGTAGATTATTCATACAGGTAAGTCTACCTGTACCCCTTAGAGGGCCCCTTAATTGAGTGTGATAATTACTTGTTGTTTTTTCCAAGTAGCCCCTCTACTGGGCGCCCCTTTACTCACACATTGTATGTACATTCATTTTCACTGTAGTGCGATTGCGTTAGTACAATATAAATATTCCATTTGTAGAAAGAATCGGTGATAAATATTCTTTAAATGTCGTATTAGATAAAGCATGGCACAATAGATCGGGAATAAATTAATTGAATCGCACAATTATTAAACATTGTCTTTATACTAGTATATAGTATGCGATAAAAAGATGTCATATAGTGAGTTTGTGAAATCGTTCCTTTTCTAATCCCCTTCCCCCATATATGGAGGATGTGAATGTTTGCAAAATCTCTGCGTACGCAGCCCTCAGTATTGTTTTCCCTGTTATGGGTATAAAGTAAATAAATTTGATAAAATTTACATGTACTTAGCGAAATCTCAATGTTATAAAGGATTGCAAAAAAGTGTTTTGGAGTACTCTTTTAAATAATGCACAGTATTCTGCAGCAGTAGTACATGCATGTCGTATATGAGCAGGTTCGAAGGTTTGCTTACTGATAATAAAAAAAAAAATCAGGGTGCCAAATTAATGAAAATACCTGAACATGTTTTAAACATCAATGAAACAAAAGAGTGATATACATGTATACAGTCATTGAAACGCTTCCTGGAGAGAGAGAGAGAGAGAAACTATCATACATGTGTATTTTTTTTAAAAATATGTACAAGTTCTAATGTAGCATTATGACATAATTAATGACAATTGTAAATAGTTCTCTTCTTGACAGAAATGTTCGTCAATGTATGGATACTTAAAGTGCGTGTTATACTGGTATGATACGGTTGTTTGGGGCATACATGTAAAAAAAATCTATGTATACTTAGTTCTCAAGTCTTTCACTCCATAGGCGTCGGAAGCAAAATGAAAAAAAGGGGGGGGGGCTAACCTAACAAAAAACGTAGACCCCAATTTTAATGCCTATATTATGAATATATTTGCAAAAAAAGTGGGGACCCCCCCCCCCCCGGTTCCGACGCCTATGCACTCCATGGTTTATTACATAAACGGAATATATTTTTTTCCGCAAAAAAATCATTTCTTATCAGCAGTGATTTGAGACAATTAAAATACTATACAATCTAAGAATGACCAGGACAAATACTTAAAATCCAGCGAAAATTTATATTGATCATGCAAATATTTTATATCGCATGTATACAGTGCATATACACAAAAGGCAAATGCTATAAAATAAAATTCTCACCTCAGCTTCATTGTATTATGGACTATGCATATAATATAAAAATGCTTTTTTACTTGTTTAATAAGATTTTTGCAGAAAAGACGACTGGACTGTCTGACCCCTTTTTGTAAACCCGTTAAACGTCGGCAATGTGTATTGCAGCTGACCGACTTTAGCGTGGGAGAGACGCGATCTCGGCTACGTCCTTTGATGTGGTGAGAATGTGACGTAGTATTTAAAGTTCTCGACAAGCAAAGCTTCAGCACGTCACAAACAGTGTAATCCTTTAGGTCTTATGAAAAAAGCTCTAATTTAAAGTTATCCCCAATTGATCTAGAACAATATCTTTTAAAAGAATGCTTTTCAATATCTGTGATGATAAATACTGTGAAGTAAAAAATTTTTAAAGATGTATGTTTTCTTTATTTAATTAATTATTTAATCTTTAAAAAATGTTGACAAGGGCAATTACTCCTTCTAAGGCATCTTTATTCTTTAATGTTTTTCTAATGTTAAATAGTTCCTTGTTATTCAAATTTGAAAAGTGTCTTCTAGGTAGCAAGTATTTTGAAACTTTTAGCATCAGAATTATGAATTTGAATTAGTTTTTAACCTGATTTTTTTTTCAGTCTGTTTACAAAAAATGTACGATTTTTAATGTTGACATATACTTCTTTTATGTATGCTTTCCATTTTAAATAAAATGGCTACCTATACCTTTCTTGCAATAAGTGGTAAATTTAAACTATATTAAATGAAAATAAATGCAGTTTTTGTACATTGAGCCATTAAAGCTGTGAGGGTGGATAGACCTTTAAAAAATTCTAGGTTTAGTGAATATTCATCAGCTGTTCATGTAGGTTTGATAACATTTTCTACAATGACCAGCCTACTTTGATTGATAGTACTTTCTTAGCAAAATTGTTAAAATTGCAGGCCTTAAAGCACAAAACCGGTAAAGACTTGTTCTATCTTTTGAAACCAAGAACTGCATGTAGTCGTTGAATGATGTTCTTTATTCAAATTGAAGTTATCAATATACTGTAAGTTCTGCCTACTTTTTAAAATACTTGTGCCATAGAAGCAATGTTTAATTTGTATATTAAAGTATATGTATAAAAAGAAGTTCATATCCGCCAATCTTTGTATTGTATGTATGAAAACAAAGAAAGGAGAGTTAAGGCTTCCCGATCGTTTGACATGCGTAAACATCTCCGGCTGACGTAGCTGCGGATATGTATCGTTATGGTTGTATATATTTGTCTTTGACCAATAATTATATAAAACCATAACGCTACAGATCTGCAGGTACGGCTGACGTGACGTTAAAATGATGTAGCGATGCTGTTCCGGGTCGATAATTATATGCATATTTATTATTTCATCAGAACTTATCTAATAATCCTATGAATTAGAAATTTTGTATAACTACTTGTATTTTATTCGCTCTTTATAAATTGTTCAAGATTTTTCCTGAATATCTCCCTCCTTTATGGAGTAAAGGTAAATTTCTCAATAATTTCCGAACAGCCATGTCCTATTTTTATATTTGAGATATTTTGAAGATTGTATTCATTTTTTAAAGAATGCATTAAATACATTATTTCTATAGTAAATAGAGATGGATTCATAAAGTACGGATATGGATTCTTTCGTAACTTTTTGTTCTCACTTCCATATTAATGTTCTTCAGTCCGTCCGTCCTTCTAAAAACCTGAAACATGATCAACTTCTTTTCAAGAAGGACTGTGTTAAACCAAACCAGGTACAATGCATCCTTGGGTAAAGAAGAGTTTAAAACGTTAATATGAAGCTCCAAGCCCCTTATGAAGAGGATTAAATCAGGAAATAATAGGGTGAGGTCATTAAAAAATCTTCTCAAGAACATATTGGACATAAATGCTGAAACTTACATGAAAGCATCCTGGGGTAGTTTCATTCTAAATTGTTCAAGTCATGATCCCTGAGGAATGGGGGACGTTTTACATTGAGATATGTAAAAAAAATTCGTTTAGGAAATCTTCTTTTCAAAGAACCACTGGGCCAGAAAACCTCAGGATGATTGCATTAAAGATTTGCAAAATTTGCGTCAAATAAACTTTCAAAACAGACATTTTTCTTTTAATTGCAGGAATGATCAACATCTAATTAATCTACAATTTTACTGCATTATAGTAAATAAAACTACATTTATGTATCTACGATGTACAAATATGTTTTTCTAAAGCGGGTCTCATCTCAAATTCTTCAATCTACGTACGATAATGAGGACGCACACTTTTTTTACTGACTTTATACATAGTAAGCGCATATTTGTCTATTGTTCTCCTTTTAACAGTAGTTGTATATTTGCTTTTGTGATGTCGTGTTAAAAAAGATTATTAGACAAACATGAGCTTATTATTTAAAAGAGAAAAAAATCTGCTTCTTCTTATACTCTCTCTCTCTGTTGAAACCAAGAGCTGTGACATGTTGAAAATTATAATACACCACGTGATATCTTTCGTTAGGAAGTTTTGTGAATACAAAATTTCGTCACGTGACTTATTGGAAGCATGTCTTGTGCTAAATAGGATACTGTGCTCGAAAACGTTAAATAATTGGTCATCGATTTAAAATAATGTTTACTTACATTGAAGGGCTCATACGTTTAAAACCTTTGTAAATAATGTACTTAATTGAACCATATAGAATAAATAGAAACACGGAAAATAAAGATCTCGTATTTTTAATATATGTCATTGATATTTATCCAGTCTAATGTTAGATTCGTTCTTTCGACATGTTACATGTAGTTCCGCCTCTCATGCATACATATTGTTCAACCATGGGCATGTAATTGTAAATGATGTGTATTTGGAAAACCGTAAGGTAAAAACGTGAAATTAGTTTTGGTTATTACATTACAGTCTAAAATCATTTTTAACATTTAAATTGGGTGTCCAATTGACAGAGCTCTGTAGCACATATATAAAAGTGAACTTAGGTCAAGATTTTAAAGAAACTGAAGTGACCGAAAAAGACCCAAAACAAAATATTGAGCGCAGACTGGAACACAATTAATATTTTTACCAGAGATGTATGATGTGTAAAGACTAATTAATTACAACAAATTTTGCATGTTCCAGGCTGCGCTTCATATTTCCCGTAAGGAAAAATGTCAAGAAAAAGCCCATTTTTGTCAGATTTTGGTTGGATTGCAAAATAGCATCATTTCTAATATTTTTTTAGCCTGTAAATGCATATATATGTAAAAAATGTATTGAAAATATTTTCAATGTAATCTCTTCTACGAAATAAAAGTCAATTAGACATAAGTGAAAAAATACCATTCTAAAATATTGATTTCAATGGGGCAAAAAATGACTCTTATCATATATAGTTCTCTCTTAATGTTTGAAAATTAAAACTGTCTCTGGTGTTCAAAAATCTAAACTTTATGCTAGCATGTACAATTACAATGTTCATTGTACCTATCTAGTTATCCAGTTTTTTTTTCTAATACATGTAATAGCATATGCCATCACGAAAAGTATATTCGATACCAGCCCTAATTCATAAGACGTGATACATGTACATAAGGCAAAACATACCATCGCAGCAATGTCCATTTATCCAGATATGGTTCGACTTGCAATCACAGGTACTTATTTCACCCTTTGGTATACATTTAGCATTCGTTTCACAATCATCATCAGATTTGCAGAAAAAACCATAATCTAAAGCACATGTATGATTGTATTATTATCTGCTTTTAATTAAGCCATTTCTGCGGCACAATGAAAGAGTTTGTGTTTTTAAATTGTCAATTATCAATGCCATCAAAGAATGACCATGATTCTTAAAAGTCGTGAAATCGAATAATTTAGAAATTAAAAACAATAATATATAATCGAGATTTAACTTTTTGCAATTGTAGTTCAAAACATTTTTGGACTTAATAAGAACACATTCACATGTACATGTAAATCTACAGTTTAGCTTAATATTATTTGCTTAATTTGCTTTGGAGCTTAAATCGTATAAAAACATTTTTTTTAATACATTTTCTTAAGAATACTTATTTTGCCTTCAGGCGACATAACCCTTAACAACATTAAACAATGTTTTTATCTGTAAAATCTTACCAGCACTCCTATCATTACATTCCACGGACAGAGTTCGTTCCCATGGGCTAGACCAATTACTGATTGTCCGCGAACAGAAACCAGTCAAGGTAATCTGAAGTTCATGGATCCCATGTCTCAAAACAAGATTTGATACTTGATAACGACTCCATTCCCAAATGCCCCAATTAAAGGATACATTACATGGATGTAGGCAGTTGCCTAGATAAAACATCTGACAATTAAACAAAAATTAAAACTGCATTTCAAGATAATTATTATACACTCAAATTTCTATTCAATAAAGGTTCACAGACATGGATTATTTTATTATACCAAATGATATAAAGATGAAAATGAATTTGTCCATATATTGTCTACAACTTGCCTTCTTGTAGATTTTGGCGTGCCTCGTCTAACGAAAAATTGCAACCAAGTCCCGTCACAATAAATTTGATGGGAACGTCCATGCAAATTCTCCTACAAAGGATTTCTATTCTGAGAGCGACATTAACCGATTGATAAGAAATTAAAACATGCGTAAAATACGTGCATATTTTAACACAAACGCCCTCAAATATTTTTGAGTCACTTACTTTATTTACAAACAGTATATTATCGCAAATTGTAGATATTTAAACAAGATATTTAGATAAAAAGCAAAATTATATATGCAATAAAATAAGGATCATCTATTGTAGAATGGATGCAAACTTTAAAAAAAAAATGAATTATAAATGAACGAACCTACCCTGACGCTAACACAAAGAAAAATCCTTATAATTGATTTATAGTTAATGATAATAATAGCAAAAACTTTTTAATAAAAAGAAAATATAACAAAAAATTTACTAAGCACAATAGTCATGAAATAAAACTGTGTTATTTTATAAACATTTATTCTTTATTTACAAAACTATCAAAATTGTTGTCGCAAAAATACAGATAGAAATTTTACAAACCTCTGAAAGCGATCTGATTGAACGCAATGCAGGATGTAAAGGACAAGGCAAACTTGAAACATAAAATAAATGTAAAAAGTCAAATTGAATACAAAATTATGTATACATTACTTAAATGTATAAACAGCTGATCTTTTTTTTCCAGGGTCACGTAACTAGTATATACATAAAATGTCTACCAATGAGTAAAATTATGAACGAATATTTAGCTATTTATTATACTTAAGATAATCGATAGATTGATATATCACGAGAGAGAGAGAGAGAGAGAGAGAGAGAGAGAGAGAGACTCACGCCATTTGAAAATATCCATGTTTAATTTTTTTTTTTTGACAATTTTTTATAAGTTATTTGTACTTCCTTATTTTAAATTTTTCCTCCTTGAACTAAATCTTCCAACAGTGCACGAATCTCTAATTATACTGTATCTACCAGGCGGGAATAAAAGCAAACAAAGAAGATTTTTTTTATACTGTACCATTCTTTCCGGCTACATGTACCTTATCTCGCTCATTATTTCTTCTTCCCTGTTCCTGTGCGTTTATCGACAGCGTTTATTGCCAAGTATCTATATACGAGGGTTGATCTAAAAGTACGTAATGTCACTGTGTCCATATATTTTGTATCTGGTGTCATGATATGAAATACCATACACCAAAATATACCCTTATATAAATCTTATCAACATCGAAACTTTTTGTTTAATGATATTAAGTTAAATCAGGGACCTATATATACTAATATATATAGTTTATAGGTCCCTGGTTAAATTAACTTTATAGATGTTTATAGTGGGTGTCGTCGCGTCAATATTAACATCATGTATTAAATAATATTTTTCAGGATGAGGGCAAACACATTTAAAACATGGAAAGCGTGTCTTATCGCCCAAAAAATGTAAAAGACAAAAGTGACTTACACGTTTTTCTATCGGGTTAAGATCAAATGACGCCATTGTTAATTTTCATTTAAAAAAATTGTGTTTGACTCTGAATCAAAATGGGGGGGAGGGGGGGGGGCGCCGTAAGGAGCTGTAATGCATTTTCCTAGCGCGCTTCACGAAATAATATTATGTCTACGTGACAAGTCTGTGTGATTCACATACCAATAACTCACACAAAACTTAAAAACATTCCTTAAATAAATTTGCACCTAGTAAATATAACTACTTTTCCTCGTAAATTGTTCATCGTGATTGTTTGTATTGTATACAGAATTGTAATCATTCTGTTTACTGGCTAAAATAGTGAGTAGTAGGGTGAGTTCACCATGCATCGGACACATACCTTGCTTCGGACAACTTTAGGCATTAAACTCTCTTTCATCCCAAGAGTTCTGTGTATTTATTTGTTTCTGTCATAAAGATGAAGATTGAAATTTTTTAATAATACCGATTGTGTTTATCATGTTGGGATAAAAATACCCCACAAATGGCCTTGAAGTTACGTCATATTTTACATCATCAAAGGGGAATAACCCGAAATTTATGATTTTGCAATTTTTAGAGTTATCGTTCTTTTAAATTCAACTTCCACGGAACGAGTCGGACTTTGGTGAATTTTGTCAGGGATTGGTAATTTTACATAAATTATAATTAAATTTCACTTCAATATTTGTTTAATTCTTATTAGAGCTGGTTTTTACTAGTATGCTATTTTCACCGTACATCGGACACAAATTAACCATGCATCGGACACTTTTCGATGCAAAGGTAAGCACTACCATTTTCATACAGAACCCAGCTGACAGCTGTTTTTTGCGGAAAAAGAAAATAAAAACTCTATATTTTCAGTCAAAATACAAGTTATCGATATATGATGTCTGGAATTTTACTCAATTTATTTCTACAAACCAGAGCATGATAAACCATGACAAAAAAGGCGCGAATTACGACATTATAAGCATTTTAAAGCATTTCTAAGGCAGAGTGAGGTCTCGAGAATCGTTCTACATTTGTGCAATAATATCGTCGATTAAATTAAAGTTGAGGGTTATTTCTGAGATAAAAGATGAAAATATATCCATATCAAGGATTTTAAAGCACTGTGATAAAGGTTTGATATTTTTCCGGTCTCCATACCGTCTGTCCGATGCATGGTGAACAATGTCCGATCCATGGTGAATTTTCAGTTTTTTCTAAAAACTCGATTTTTGGCGATATTTTCTCAGTAAACAGCATATAATTGTGTCCTAAATTGTTATTTTAATCACAAACTAAATGTTAAACTCCATTTTGATAATTTTCCGTCGGTAGCGATATCGCTAGAACTTGTTGAAGTACAAGGGTATCCGATGCATGGTGAATTCACCCTATATGTTCACCACCTAGGTGACCTAGGATGTTTATAACACGGATTTTTCTTTAATTACTTCTGTTGTTATGATAATTTTTTGACGACAATTCCGAGGACATTTTACCTATTACCTGTCTCACCATGCTTCTTCATATAAAAAGTGAATAATGTCATACAATAATCGCTGTTTTGAGGACAATATGAAAATTAAGCTACCCAAAGAGCAGTATTCCCCGAGCATTAAGCCACTGAACATTCAGTTGTTGGAAATTCTTGATCTATTTTCAGTCCAGTGTAGAAAATAAATAAATGTTTCTGTTCTTGTGGAAGGTCTAGTGCAACATAACTTAGTAGGATTTTTAAAATGATTGACCACGACCAATTTAAGGGCTAGTAATTGTTACATTATATAAATTTAAATATATTATATCCAAATATAAACATTAATTTTTGATAATCAGTGTAATCGTAGTTCTCTACACATACGAAGTAAAGCAGGAGAGGGAACCAGATTGACCTGATTGATTACATTCAGCTGCGGTATCAGATTAATTCTGATTCTGACAAAATCGGACCGTGGCATTAGGATTGAAAAACTCACTGTCAGTTTCTTATCATTTATATTGATAGTTTTAAAATATTTTTTTCATCAGAATATAAACGCGATAAAAGTACATGTAAGAAATTCATTCTACTCTGTAAATGAGTCCGGCTTTCTGTACTTCTGAGTACTTTGATTGAAGTGGACTATTGGTGTTTAATCGACATTTTTTTGGAAAATGGCTGATGTCACATCGACAAAGGTATATAGTGGGGTGTTAAAGGGTTGATAAATCCTTTGAATTTTGAAGGGCATTTCTCCTTTCAAAACATTGTTTTCTTTTAAACATTCTGAGTTGCTAAGATTTCGGCTTAGCCAGGAGTTGAGACAATCTGAGGACATGTGTGATGGATTTTTCACATTTTACATCTGTAGGTCAATAAAGGAATAAACCGTATAGTATAATTTTTTTCCGGCAAAGTCTTTCATTAAATTTTGTCAAATAGAATTAAATAAAGATTTCTTTTTATTTTGATACTCAGATATTGCTTGACGATGTTGAAAAATCATGTAGGAAAAAATCTGCCTGATCTGGTAATTGAGGTATTTAAAGAATCCTTGCAAATAAAGATACATGTGCATTGCTTAGTACTGTAAATGTTATACCAAGTCCTTATCTTACAAAAATATTAACTGCTAAAAAAAAAGTCACTTTAAATACCGTGCTACAGTTTAACTTAGAAGCGGTGTAACTAAAATGTTGATCCTCAAAATCCAGAATAAACTTTGAGACACAAATTTCAAAAATTCTAAAATTACTACTTTCTACACTTTATAAAGCAATTCATCACGATTGATTAAAATCTACATTTATTGATACCGTACAACGGGTATTTTTTACGAGCTGCTAATTTTTTAAAATTTTTTAACGAGTTTTATAAATCCATCAAATCAAATTTAAACACCTAAAATTTCACAGAAGATAAAAAAAAAGTCTTGTGTGAATTCTCAACATTGTATGTATGAGAGTCATGCCAGTCAACCTTGTACCTAGAGGCTATAAATTTGTACTGTTGGTTTTTTTAAGCACTTTTAGGTTGATAAATTATTGAGAACAAACAAGTGCATGTAAATCTTCATTAACTTGCATAAGTTAAACAAACAGTGTCAATTATATGATTACTCTAGATTATTACACATCTTAGTATTTTTACGAGACGCATAATTTCTGATAATCATTTTATTTTTACAGATCTTCCAGTTATGCTTTTTTTTTTACTTTGTTATGTTTTATGTGCTTCAAATTATAATCTTCAAATTTTTAATACATTGTAAATCTGTCAATTAAATAATTATGAAATGAGTTGTACCTCTTTGTTTCCTGTAAAATCAAGACGAGCAAGTGGTGCGCAACTAAAATGACACCTGGCAATGTGTA